AACTCGATTATCTCCTACAAAAGCTTCCTAAAGTGCTTGAAATTTTTACTGATTTTTTTTAAGGGGCAACTTAATACAAATTATTTTTTTCAGATTTTTATCACTTTTTTTGACGTAATGCCCTAACATCCTTAATGCGTCCATAGTGACTACATGTTTTTGCTCCTGAATTCCTTTCATCGATAATTATTCGATAACTACATTTTTTTATATTGAAAACGCCTCTGTTTAAAAAAAAAGATGAAAGGAGTTGGATATTAACCTGAGTACTCAGAAAAGAATCACTGACTCTATGGGGATCGAAGTCCAGATCATGCACGGGAATCTTGTACTCATTATCGAGTGGCATGTCGAATAATGTTTGATAATTCATTATCATATATTCACAAAAATATTTTTTAGCACGAGGAAGGAACGTCTTTACCGAATAAGAGTTGTCCAGAGGATGACAATGACCATAAAAGCAAACTTCTCACCGGTAAAACTAAGAATAAAAGTTAGGGTTTATGATACAAGAGAATGCAGTCCTTCTTCAAATTTCAGCATATGTTGAACATTAAATCGTTCTAGAAAGTGGAAATGGAACGATTGTAAACCAGTCCTTTTTCTGGGACTATTTTCCCAGTATGTCATAATCTTTGTCGAGTAGTTTTTGTACTACAATGAAGGATCTGTACTCAAATATTCCAACAATTTATTTATTGATTCTCGCCCATATTGTCGTCCAATTTCCGGGAATATTTTGTCGAAAATTTCAAAGTTTTGCTGTCATGTTATTCCGACCAAAATTTTGACAATTATTTTTTGCTATAGGATAGCCCCATTCGGTCCAACTCATCATCGTTAAATAATTTTTTTCTCTTATATATGTGAATCAAAGGACTGTTTGAATCGAGTCAGCCACTGATTGAAATTGATAGATTGGACTTAATCGTGGTACTTTGAGAATATTTAAATATTAAATTAACTAAATGCTTTGCGTTTTTCAAACCTATATTTTCATGTTTTAAATATAAACTTTATCTGATGGTCCAATTCTGTTAGCTGAAATGTGAATGAAAATATAATCCTGCGAATACGACTTAAGCTTAAATATTAATCGGATATTTCCCTCCAGGTTCCCTGAAAACAAAGAAACTTATCAAGTTTTCCAGAAAACTTTTTTAACATGGGAAACTAGAAACGTTCATTTGTTTGAAACGAACCTTTTTGGCATATATACAATAATTTCGAAACTTTCGTGGTATTGCATGTGATAATTTTTACATTTCGAAATATTGTAGCAGCACAATAGTGTGACCGTTTTTCAGAAAGCATTAAACGCCTATAATTCAAAAGACAGTTTTACCATTTCTGAGAGCGATGATATCAAAATTGCAACTGGGAAATCTCAAATGTTATGTGCCAATTTTCTGACAACTTGTCGGCGTCTTGTTTCATAGGATTTACATAGAGGGTGAAATAGAATACAAAAACGAGTTGATTTTGGTTTATTCTGGACAGGCCAATGATCCTCCACCGGAAAATCGAAATTTTAAGTAAAATACCATTAAATTTCCCACCGTCCTTATTCACTATTGGAGCCACTATCACTAGAGCCACTACCGGAGCCACTGCCACTGCCACTGTCAGATTTTCCAGATCGCATTGAAGGTGGAGACGGAGATTTGTTTGATCTGGCTGCGGATACTGAGCGTGATCTGGAAGGAGATCTTGAAGTTGATCGAGCCGGGGAACCAGACCTTGAACGAGATTTAGATTCTGATTTCGACCTAGAACCCGAAGGAGATCTTGACCTGGATTGAGATCTTGATCTAGATGGCGACTTTGAAGGGGAGCATGACCTGGATTTGGAAGGAGACCTGGATTTTGATCGTGATTTATCAGACTTTTCCGAAGACGCAAGTGAAGAAGCTCGGGAAGAGCGACGGGATTCTCCTTCATTGTCAGAACCATTATTCTCTTGATTGCTTTTTGATTCATCTGGATTCTTGTTTCCGTGCTGATTCTCCTGCTGCTGTCCTTCTTCTTCTTCTTCTTCATCCTCCTCTTCCTCTTCATCCTCATCCTCCTCTTCTTCATTTGGTGGCTCCAATTGCTTCTCCCTCCACCTCTGCATTCTAAATTCATTGACATTGAGGGGTCTATGACGAACAACCAGGCGGGTATTGTTGGGTGGCTGACCTGCCTTCTGTCGGCGTTTGGATAGACGCACTCGAGTCTCTAATTCATTATAATACACTCCGTCTTCTCTCATAACCAGGAAATAATTCTCTTCATAACCTTTCGAAGCCTTACTCTTCACATTCCAATTGTATTCTCGAGCCATTTTATATTCATACTCTTCTTCTTCTGCATACTCAATTTCGGCTGCAAAATCTCTCCTGCGTTTTTCTAGGGTGTCTTCTAGAGGAAGAAAATAGGCGACAAATTGTTCCCCACTTTCATCCATCACCCCTCTGAGAAATAAAATAAATTCACCGTCAAGATTAATGATATGGTAAATTTTCCTGATTTATTTGTGAAAATATTCAAGGAATGATTGATTATTTCTCGAATCTAGGTGTCATTCAGTTTTATTTATCGGGCGTGATTTTTTGTTTGCATTTTATGTGTTAGCTTAAAATATGTAAAAAACGTGAGTGCTAACTGTTTTACAAAAGGCACTCCCAAGTGAGATCATGGCAATCGTTCGATTTTTCAATTTTATAATTTTGCCAGGAAATTATGGAGATCGGCTGAAACGTAATAATACGAAGTTTGAGGGCCATATGTGTGTGCGAATGGTCACATGATGGTCAAATAAAGGAGTAAATTGATTCCAAAAAATCTGATTTTGCGAGTTCTTAGGTCTTAATATGGACTTGATCTGTGTTCAATTTCTGCCCGATCAGTCGAGAAGTTTTCGAGACATCGGTGACTGTTTCTGTAAGGTTTTTTGAAAATATCTCAGAAACTATCTAGCCGATTTCTTTTTGGTGCCTTTGAAATGCTCGTCTCTATATACATTAGTAATAATATGTATATGTGTGCCTACAAAGTTTTCGAGATTTATCAATTTTTATTTTTCGATGAAATTCGTACTATGCGCCCTCTGATTTTTTCAAATCAACCTATCAACTTGAGATTCGTCAGACAGGTTCCTCTTATAGCCACAATGTTTCCTACTAAAAATGGGCTGGATCACATGATTCCTTTAGGACATATTGCCATTTTTCTTTCTTTTCGAAAAGATCATTGTCAGAATAGCTATGGATCCATTCAAAAGCGTACTGCCAATTTTATTGACAGAAATAAGAAATGAAAAAAAAATTAACGCCTAAAGTAATGGTTAAATGTCCCTTGCCAAATAGGCTCAGTCAACCGCTTGTTTTATGAACATTTGAGTGGTTTCCGCATCACAATTTTTATTCCAAGTTTACATATATTTATGCCATCGGTGCCCGTCATCACGCGATTCTAACCTCGCTTCGCTCGGTTAAATCGCGGATTCCGGGCGCAATGACATAAAATTTTGTATGAAACGCGTGCGCAATATATTTTTCGACTCGTGGGATTGTAAAACTCGCCTTCGGCTCGTGTTACAAACCTCCCACGAGTAAAAAAATATATTACGCACGTGTTGCATAATATACTATTAGGGCTAACAACATTAAATTCAAACTAAAAATCACCTCACTTCGCTCGCTAGAGTCGTGGATTACGGGCGCTATGACATAAAATAGTATATGAAACACGTGCATTATGCATTTTTTAACTCGTGGGTTTGCGACACTCGCTTTCGGCTCGACCTACAACCTTCTCACGAGCCAAAAAATCCATCACGCACTTATTGCATAATATACAATTTTTTTCAGGAACATGTAAATTTGTCATAACTAATTGAACTAGGAGTCATTTGACATCTGAAATATTGCAAGAGTGAGAGTGCGGGCGAAAATTTCTAACAAAAAACGAATATTCTGAAAATAAAAAAAACATGGTAAAATAAAGTGGGCTTGTCACAAAAATGAATGGTTACATCGGGCTGAAGTTCCACAGAAAAGTAGTGCATTCACTTTTATGACGAAATATCAAATTTTTTTTATATTGCTGCTACATTCACCTCGTGCCGAAATGTGCTTTTTTGTTTACTCGTAAACAAAAGGTAAACCGAAAAACTTTTCGTTTACTAGTGAATGGAAAGAGCACAATTCGGCACTCACTGAATGTAAAATAACTGTCAAAAAATATTGCAACATTCAGCTTATTTTTTTTTAATCCTGTCAATTCGAAATTCCGTCTCACTCGTAATAAAATATACTATTTCTAATTGTTTTCTCTGCTTATAAGTTTAATTAACGGAAAGGTGATCACCCGAGAACCTATTAGACATACATAGGCGTGATGTGCAAATTTCGTATTTTTTCCTTTTACACCATTTTATATTCTTTCCATGCAAAATGATAAAAATGAAGAATTTAAGAAATATAAGGCTTCAATTAACTAGCAGAACTTGGTAAAGAGAAAAAGAATTGGAGTGGTTTTGAGGGAGTATTAAATTAAAAACACTTAGTAAATTCATATCAGCTCATCGATCTGCAGGATGTTTACTAAGTCAATGTCAGTTTAACTTTGCCTGCTTTTAACGTAATCGTAACCGATAATAATATAATATAATATCTACTTGAATATATTACCTGATCATGGCTTGCGACATCTCCTCCATTTGTGCAGGCACAGAACGTCCAGTAGGTGCTGGATCTGAATCAAAAATCACCTGAGCACAAGGATATTTCCACAATTTGAAATCAGGATACACGGGGAATACTTCCACAGGCACAACGTTGGGTTTACTGTAATGTTTTGTAATCGATATCCTGTTGTCATCAAATGTTTTTTCAATAGCTTTAATTTGGCTTTCACGATCCATATACAAGGTTTCTTCCTTGAAATTCTTCTTAATGGAGTAGCCAACTTTAGCCTCAACTTTGTCCATAGTCTGTGGCTGGAACCTCGTCTGTTCTGTCGAGATATACTCGGTTCTACGAAGCCATGAGACACTTCTAGCATGATGTCTTGATCGTTTAGAATCCTGAGGTGTGAGAATATCTTCTTCGAGAAGCTTTTCATCAGCAGGATCGAGCTGTGCATTGGGATCTCCTGCATAGGTGTCTCGATTGATTAAATCGATTTCAACTCCCAAATCGTGTTCAGTGAGAACTTCATACTTGTAATTACGCTCTAGAGAGGTTGGATTGTACTGAATGAACCTGTTGAAAATAATTTGTCTTTCACACCGTGATTTTTCCTTGAAATTCAATTTAAAAGTAGCGCAATGATAACTTAAGATGTTGAAAAAATATTGAAACTTAGTCATTTCTATAATATAAGCCATTTCGATAGCAATGGCAGAAAATATTCTCGTTAATATCACGTTAAATTCAGGAATATTCATTCAGCTTTTTCCGCGTAAAGATGTATGACGCGAGAGATGTAGAGTTTTTTTTACCAATTCCGTTCACTTAGAAATGCATCTTAGTAATGACCAGAATTGTCAATACATCTAATAATATATTTGTATATATAAATAGTGATAATAAATAGTGTGTATATTTCGAAGGCTTCGCGGATTGAATCTCGTGGTAATTCGTTGACAAATTTGATTAAATAATTACATTGTAAGGAATCGGATATCATATTTCGAACAAGTCTAACGTTTAAAAGGGATGCATACAAGTTTCTACTTAATTAGCTGAAAAATTATGTTAGAATTGTATTGAAAAATGCTATTCGTTGTTTTTATAGGTGCCCACAATTACGCGATTCTAGCTTCGTTTGTTCGGTAGAATCGCGAATTCTAGGCCAAACGACCGCATCGAAGAGGCGGATTCTAATCAAATATGTTGCTAAATACTTCCTCAGATCATGTGGTATATGCTACTTTATATTAGAGGGCTCGGCTGACGAACTATTGTTATTGCTCTAGGAACGTAAGTGAAAAGGTAAGCAGAAAAAATAGGCCAGGAGAAAATAGCCAACACATCTAAAGCGTATTAAACCCGCTCAAAATAATAGACCATAGGAAGATTAATGTGGGTCTATTTTTTCAGGGATTCAAGTGAAAAGGAAGGTGATAGGCGGCCATTTACCATTCTAGGGCAACATCATAGTAATTTGTTCAACAAGGGTTGAAAAGTTTTTTCAAGAGCAGGTGATCTTAAGGCAAGCTTCATATTCTCAGTTCTATTATTTTATTTAATGACTAAAAATTATATTTTTTAAAGATTCTACCTGGTAGACTCGAAAGGATATGTAATGAACTTTGGGTCGAAAGGAATGTCGGGCAGTGTATTGCAGTATTTAACTCGGCAAATCAACTCAGACCTATAACAAACATTGGTTATTAGAGACAAAATGGAACGTTTGATAGTTAGGATAACTTTTCTGAAAAATATGGGAATAATTACGCTGAAGAAGATAAAATTACTGACCGTTTTTCTGCTGGTCTCACCACTCGTTTATCTCTGTCACCGTTGCTAATATTCGTTTGAATCGTTGGAGCCATTGTTGCTATTTTTCAGCACTAATGATTCAATAATGATCGTAAAAAAATCCATTCGCTGCAATTAATTAAAAGATTACCTTCACTTCTCTTCTCTATCCTCCATTTCATTCCATTAGTGTATCTATGCTATCTTCATTCTTTCAGTAAAAAAAGTATTGACTGGAAACTGCAATGGCACACGACAAGGAAAAAGTGTCATGGCGGTGAATGGAAACATGTGTTCTCAAGTTTGCACTCACTGGACGGGGTACGCGTATGTGAGGGTAGATGGCAGCACAACAAATGACTCTGTGTAAGGTATGATCAGAGATTATAGGGGAGATTGCTAACAGAGATTATAGGGGAGATTGCTAACGCCAATGGCGAAGCTTCAACCGCGAAATTTCCTAGCGGAACTTGCGGAACTAATTTTGCGGGTGTACCTGTGAATCAAACAGGTCGCGAGGGCAAGAGTGTCGGTAATTTTCGGAGGGCGTGGGTATAGATAAAGCAGAGCGCGAGCCCGAGCGTGTCGAT